TTCCAGCTGTGACAACCAAAAATATCTACCAGCATTGCCAAATATTGGGGCGGCGGTGGGAGGGGTGGACACAATTATTCCTGGTTGAGAACCACGGATGTGTATGGTTTGTGCAAAAACAGTTAGTAAGTAAAAAGTCTGATGATTGAAAAGCCATTTCTCCACTCACCATGCACACAACCTTTCCAACACTGAATGTTACCAATTTGTAAAGGTCTTTGTCCGTTAAGTGGCAGTTGTCCTGATAGTACCCAATCAGAGTACTCTCCAAGGTCCAGATGCCACATGATTTGCCAAACGACTAGAGACAAGAGTCCCATGCTAGCCCTGGAGCTGTCAAAGTGGGATGTTACAGAAAATAAGGAAGACGAGGTTAAATTCTGTAGTCCTGGTGCAAGAGTCAGTGGGCTTCAACATCATCTGTATAATCCCAGAGTTGAGTTGGCTGTGTGGGTGTCATCTTCCTTCCTTAGGGCTCCTTGTTCGTAGTCCAATCACTTTTAAGAGCGGTCAGTTGAAGAATCTACCTAGGACATAGTAGATACTCAGCAAATATTTGTTGAATGCTTTCATGAATGATGTTTTACTTTTTGCATTTTGCCTTTTGGATTGGACAATTAAGTACTTTAGTCTGCCAGAACTAAACATATCCTTGTTCAAATCAGTTGGAGGATAAAATATCTCCTAGAAAATCTCAAAGTCAGTTGTATTCCTTATTACACAATCCCCAAGTTAAAAAAAAAAAAGTGTATGTGTGTGTGTGTGTGTAGCATACACACACCTTGTTCAAAGTACAGAAGCAATCAAAGGTCTATAGAACATACTCCCTCAGCCTTAAGGAGGAAAGAGAAGGGCTGCGGTTATGCCAGGCTCTGTATTGGGGTATTAAATACACAATCTCTTTAGTCCTCACAATAGTCGTATTGTATATATGCTAAGAACAGGGAAATAAGTTGTTCAAGATCAGACTGCTGCTACAGGGAAAGCAGAAATTCAAATCAAGCTCTGGTTGAGTTTTAAGCTGCCTAAGCCAGTTTACAAGCTTCCCCTGACTCACTTGGCCCATGTGCCCTGGGCCTCGGTCACTTGTTGAATGGAGAGCTGTCCAACGATGCCCTGCCTTCCAGCGAGGCTGACGGACCCAGTCAGCCTCTTAAGGATGAAGGCTGGGCTTCATCGTCCCCAGCCTGGTGGGAACCTGTGCAGAGATGGCTCCCAGGCCCAACCAGACCAGACCTGCAGGCGTTTGGGTACCTTCCAGCACTTCTAGATCCAGATGCTTTGCCACTCCCTGGGGCATGGGATCTGGCTTCCCAGGGGCTGCCCCGGGGTCTAGGAAACACAACCAAGGGTGGGGGGACTTAACTCTTCATAAGGAAAACTTGGACCAGTGGAAGCAGGAAACTGAAAAGACAGCATATAAATGCCTCTCCCTACCTCCTCAGACTGTTCTGAGATGTACTGGTTCCATTTAGCCTTTCTGGAGACCAGCTGTGACTTTGTGAAGCTGGGGCCCAGATCAGTAACATGCCACCTTACATTTGCTTTGCTTCCTTCTTTGTCTCACTTCCCTTTTTCTTTCAAACTTACTGCCCTGGGGTTACATGCATACGCGTGCCCCCAATAAAGTGTTAACCTATAAGTTTTGCCTTAGGTTCTGTTTTCTGGGGAACTACAGCTAAAACATAAGCTTATGCTTTTTTATTTATAAAATTATATGCTGCCACCCATCTTTCAAAAGCCCAAGAAAAAAATTAAAACAACCCCCCTCTTAGTAGAACTTACCCCTTACTGATGATAGCTGACAGACATTTTGAAAGAAAAAAACCAGCCATGGTCTATGGGTGTGGGAAGCAGTGCATTAAGGTGGCACTAATCTTGCCTTGGTGGTCCCCTCGTATCTGCCCTAACCACCATCTGCTCTTCTCGCCCTTGCGTTTAGACAGAAGGGCTTTTAACACTCATTTGAGCAGCAGGGCTATATGTGTCTGACTATAATGATCACATGTAGCCTGATAGGATGGAAAGTGTCAGTCACCCTAAGTGCAAATCCTACTTCTCCTGCTTGTCAGCTGTTTGACTTGAGAAAGTCATAATATCTGAGTAGGTATTTCCTTACCTGTAAAATAGAAACAAGACGATCTGCCTTACCTTTCCCGTGGGCTGATGTGACATAGTGAAAGTACTTTAAAGTACCATACGATGAGCTTTAACTGTGTAAGGGGAGATTAGGTAATAACTTTCTAATTTGGGCTTCTAAATTCCTCTCACTAAAAATAATGAAGCACTTCAGTAGGAAAATATAAAGGAATAAATCACTTAAATCTTTTCAAATATCTTCAAGATAATAATTAAGGTTAAAAACCAAGATGGGGGGGCTTCCCTGGTGGCGCAGTGGTTGAGAGTCCGCCTGCCGATGCAGGGGACACGGGTTCGTGCCCCTGTCCGGGAAGATCCCACATGCCGCGGAGCAGCTGGGCCCGTGAGCCATGGCCGCTGAGCCTGCGCGTCTGGAGCCTGTGCTCCGCGACGGGAGAGGCCACAACAGTGAGAGGCCCGCGAACCGCAAAAAAACAAAACAAAAACAAAAAAAAACCCAACATGGAATAAAAGAGACTGTATTTTCCCTCCCATGAAACAAACAAAAATAAATAAACAGAAAATATATATTTAAAAAAAAAACAATTTTAAGACACTGGACATCAGACAATGAGGTGATTCCCTGAGAAAGGAAACAAATGTGGTGGGCCCTGTGATTGCCCCCAGCTTATTACTGGAGACTTTCCAGCTACAGTGCAGGGAGAAGGAAGACTTGTGGAGATGGGTAGACTCCAAGAGTTGAGGAAATGGAGCTGAGAGTGCAAGAGACCCAAGGTGGCTGGATTGCAGAGGACAGAGTACCAGAGATGCACAGAGAGAGAACTCTGGAGATCTGCAGAGGGTTCCCCTCCAGCATCCAGCAGAATACTAATCAGGGCATGCATATGAGCAAACTGCCCAAAGCTGAGGGAAAAACCACCCAAAAAGATCACCAGGAACAGCAGCTGGGGCTCACACCAGCCTGAGAAGAGTGCCTGTTTCTACAGCCAGACTGGAAAATCCCTTAATTCACAAGGAAATGGGTAGAGTACTTCAAAGTGTCTTGCCTCAACAGGGCGGAATAATTAACCCTAAACTAAACACTGCTCTGGTCCAGTCCAACAAATCTTAAACACAAGACCTGAAAGGATCAAGTTGTTTCCAAGTAACTGAACTGCATTCCAGAATGAAGCTCAAGAATATAGAAATACAAAAACACCTACCATCCAACATGGTCAAATTGTCAATGCCCGGCATCCAGTAAAAAGTTACCAGGCATGCAAAGAAACAGGAAAATATGCCCCATAATAATGGGGGAAATCAATGAAAACCAACTCAGTTGTAGGAATTAGTAGAGAAGGATATTAGAAGTTATAATTGTATTTCATGTGTTTAAAACCTTAAATAGAGACATAGATATTTTAAAAGACTCAATTCAAACATCTATGGATAAAAACTACAATGTCCATGATGAAACATACCCAGGATGGAATTAATAGTATATCCATACAATGGACTACTACTAATCAATGAAAAGAAATAAACTTGATAAATCTCAAAATAATTGTGCAGAGTGAAAGAATCCAGACAAAAATATTTCATGTTGTACAATTCCTTTTACATGAAATTCTAGAAGATACAAAGTAACCTCTAGTCACAGAAAACATATCAATGATTACCTGATGGGGGGGGCAGGAGGAAGGGATTCCCAAGGGGCACAAGGAAACTCCCAAGGGGAGGTGATGGAGATGTTCACTATTTTGATTTTTATGATGGTTTCACAGGTTTATACAGATGTCAAAGCTTACCATTTTGTACACTTTAAATACATGCAGTTTATTGTATATCAGTTATAACTCAGTAAGCCTATTTTAAAAAAACAAAGAGACAAAAGTGTATTTCTAAAAACCACTGAGGGACTTCCCTGGTGGTCCAGTGGCTAAGACTCCACACTCACAGTGCAGGGGACCCCGGTTCAATCCCTGGTCAGGGAACTAGATCTCACATGCTGCAACTAAAGACCCCGCATTCAGCAGTGAAGATCCCATGTGCTGCAACTAAGACTCAGCACAGCCAAATAAACAAATATTTAAAAACCACTGAACAATGTGGGAAATAGAGGATTTATAAATATAACCACGTTTTTAATATTTAAAATTTTGTAAATTTTAGAGAATGGTAAAATATTTGAATCCATAATTTTTGTTACATCTAAACCTATAGTGTCTGTAGACTATACCTATAGGATAGCATCTATAGTATTTGTATAGTAGCTAAAATTTGGTTTGATGGGTCTCTTTTTTCTTTTTTTAACAATAAATTAGAAAATCTATCCCCATCTTGTTTAGAAATATATTTTCATGAAGGAGGCGGCAGCAGGGAAGATTTCAAAACAAAACTAAGAGCCAGAAAAGCACAAGTTATGGGTTTTTCCAAAGCTTGTTTTAGAAATTAAGAAAATTCTACACAATTTTCTTAACCGTTAGTGACTGTACACTTACTCCCTAACACCCCTCTCTGTTTGATATGAGGTCCAGGCTTGAAAAACCCTCTAAATATCTGATTAAAGACTCAGGGCTTCCCCGGTGGCGCAGTGGTTGAGAGTCCGCCTGCTGATGCAGGGGATGCAGGTTCGTGCCCTGGTCCGGGAAGATCCCACATGCCGCGGAGCGGCTGGGCCCGTGAGCCGTGGCTGCTGAGCCTGCGCCTCCAGAGCCTGTGCTCTGCAACGGGAGAGGCCACAACAGTGAGAGGCCCGCATACCACAAAAAAAAAAAAAAAAAAAAAAAAAATTAAAGACTCAGTTCTTGTTGTCCTGCTTCATTAGAGATACAGTTGTGTGATGCATGTTCATTATATTTTGGAATGAATTAATTTATGTATCCTCATGTTCCCAACTTGTCTGTCCTGATTTCTCCCAGTTTGATGCCGACCGAGACGAGGATGAGGTGTTCTATGACATCAGCATGGCAGTTGACAGCAAGTTATTTCCAAACAAAGAGGCTGCAGCAGGTAAGTCACTGTGTCCTTTGGGCTGCAGTATACCCTGATCCCCTGCCAAGCGTCTAGAGCTTTGTAGTAAGGTTGGAGCTCAACAAACTGCCGTAACGTCGTAAGCATGATGTTGTCCTCAGGTCTTTACAACTTCTGGTGTAAAAATAAAGGCACTGGGCTTCCCTGGTGGCGCAGTGATTGGGAGTCGGCCTGCCTGATGCAGGGGACGCGGGTTCGTGCCCCGGTCCGGGAGGATCCCACATGCCGCGGAGCGGCTGGGCCCGTGGGCCATGGCTGCTGGGCCTGCACGTCCGCAGCCTGTGCTCCGCGGCGGGAGGGGCCACAACGGTGAGAGGCCCGCGTACCGCAAAAAATAAAATAAAATAAAATAAAGGCACAAAACGACATAGAAAAGAGCCATACTTCTGGCTCTTAACAGTTACTGCCTTTCTTCCAGTCATTGAAAGTGCAAATTATCAGGCAGTCACAATGTAGCAAAGGACCTCTGTTACTATAATTTTAAAAAACTGATCTAACCCACAATTTGTGCAACAATAAAAGTTACAGTTTCTCCAGAACTCCCTAACTCATACATGTCTCTCCTGTGCCACCTGGGAAAAGCCTCCTCTTTGGTGTGATAGCTTCTCCCATCCCGACCCACAGCCCCTGTTGTGGCTCTGCCCCTTCTCTTCCTATGTCTAGAAGTTTGACGTTGGACAATCGTGCAGGGTAATCATACCCCTTTAAGTAGGCGGTACTCACATTTCTGTCCTTGACCCTTCTCTCACTCTCTTTTACTCTTTCTCTGGGTCAGCTCCTTGTCCGTCCTGGTTTCAACCATCAGTTCTACGTGGATGACTCTCAAATCTTTCTCAGTCCTCACCTTTCTTCTCAGTTATGGCCTCAGTGAATAAAGACCAAAAGTTCCGGGCTGTAAAGAAAAAGGCTAAACACCTAAAAGGTTGAAGCTGTATTTGAAGCTCACTGCAAGTAGGTTCGAAGAAAGACAAGAGTTTTTTAAAAGGCAGTAATCTTTCTGGACAGACCCGCAGAGCACAGACAGCTGACGTAAACTCGCCTGCCTCATTTTCCAGTGATATATACAGAAAGATGGCCTACTGCAGGGCAAGGGGGAGTGTTGTTGAGAAGCATGTAAGATCATGTAAACAGAAGTACCACTGCTCTGAAAACTGCTGTGACACCTGTGCTTTTATTTTAATGTTTCATTTAGAACATTCATTTAGACCTCTAATAACAAATATCTATCGGCTAGATACCCTCAGTTTCCAAACAGTGGAGCAGAGGAGATTTAAGCGGCCCCTTCTTTAGAACTCCCGGCACTTTAAGGCTCTCAAGTAGCATTTCTCCAAAGTATCCTCGTCCTATAGCGATGTAGCTGGGCTGGCTTGTGTGCAATTCAGTAAACTGTGTCTTTGTCTCCTTCATGTTCCCTTGGTAGAGTGCACGGTGCCTGGCCCACAGCAGAGGCTTCCAGGAGACCACTCCTTCCTCTCTACAACTCCGAGCTTATGAACAGAGGGGTCTGTGATCACAGCCTCAACTCCCCCTAGCTCCCTTCCACTTCCAAGACCTCTGAAAACTGGGTTCTGCTCCAGCCTTAAAGTAAACTTGTTCTATCTGTAACAGCCCTGGTGAGCGAAGGGAACCCAGGAGGGCTTGTGGTAAACCAGAAATAAACCATACCTCCCCTTCCAGAGGCAGCCACTTCACAGCCCCAGGTTACTGTGCCGTTACGGAATGGGTCAGTGTTGCTAGATCCTTCTCTCTTTCCAGAGAAAACAGAAACCTGCACCAGCAGGTGAAATCTCCCAGCTTGTAAATGTTGGTGACTCAGTCAGTTAAACAAGCCGTGTCCGTGGCCTCTGCTCTGTGACTCGGCAGCCCCCAGGTTGTCTCCCGTGGCTCTTCCCTTCTCCTGAATCCTCTCTCTGCAGTATCTCAGCTGCCCCACTGCTCCCATATCACCTCCACGTGAATAGCTTTCAATTCCTTTAAATTTTTTACATAAAAATCGTATATGTTTAAGATGTACTACACGATGATCTGATTGGTGAAATGATTACTACAGTCCAGCTAATTAACATCCTTCATCCTCATATAGTTACCATTCTTCTGTGCTTGATGAATGAGCATCTGAAACATATTCTCTTAACAATTTTCCAGTATTCAGTACATATTATGAACTGTCATCACCTTGCTGTGCATTGGATCTCTAGGCATATTCTTCCTACGTAACTGCAACTTTGTACACTTTGGTCAAAATCTCCCCATTTCCTCCACCTGCGTGTCTGTGGCAACCACCATTCTACTCTCTGCCTCTATGTATTTGACTTTTTTAGGTTCCACACGCAAGGGAGATCACTCAGTTTTTCTCTTTTAAGAGAGCCAGGCAAAAGTGTCCCTGCCCTCACACCTCACACCGATCATGGATCGTCGTTCCTCAGAGACACCTTGGGAGTCCAGGTCTCCTTCACTATCCCTAGCGAACTCATCGGAGCCTTTGTCATTCCTAGCCCGGCCCGTCCGTCTGTTAGGAATCCTGTTGCTGCCGTGGGGATCCTCCCAGAATGCAGCCCCCTGACAAAAACCAAAACAAAGCAAAACCTTCCATGACTTTCCTGCAGGCTGAGCACCAGGGTTCTTACCGTGACAAAAATATCCTTAGCTTTCCTGCAGTGGTCCTGTCCCCGTCAGAGTGTCACCTCTCTCAGACCCCATCCCAGACTACATCCCTGTGTAGTGCTCTGCCCTTTACCTTCAGGGCATTCATCGCAACTGTGATTACATAATTAGGTATAGGATTGTTTGTTAAAAATCTATTTCCTTTACAAGAGTGCAAGACTTCATGAGGACAGAGTATACATGAGCATTGGTTTAAAACCCGGTATGAATCTCATGCAAGATGCCACATTAGCCCTTTCTCTTCTAGCTGGCCACCTCAGCTGGGCTACTCACCTGGGCCCGTCAACTCACAGCCACACCAAATTTCCTTTGGCTCCAGAGCAGAGTGTGCATATCCTTGCCTCCAGGCCAGAGAATGCCAGTCCCTGAACCTCTGCACCCTGTCTGTGGTGTTTCCTCCTCCATGGAGCCCTCCAGTAATACTTGTAGCAGAGTCATCTGCCTACATCACTCAGCATCTCTGGGCTTCAGTGTCCCCATCTATAAGGAAAGAATATTAACGCTACCTCATAGGACAGTTATGAAGAGTAAATGGCTTATGTGTATAAAGCATGCGGCTGTCCCGTTAAAATGGTTAAGTATAGGTTAGTATCTTTGCTGAGGATTTGAGGGGTCACAGGGAGAGACCACATCTTATGCAGCACAGCCTTTCCCCATTTTCCTAGGCTGACTTCTACCCTTTCCCCCTCTCTTCCTCCCTTCCCCCACCGCTGTCATGGAGTAACTAAAAAAAAAAATCCCCCCTTCTCTTCTCACCCAGAACAGTCCCCCAACACCCAGTTCCTTCGAGGAGATTCCTTCTAGTCCCAAATACTGCCAGGATAATTTTTTTCCAAAGAAATACAATGCCCTTCTTCAAAGGAATTCTAACACAAAATGCTACTAACACTTCCAAGCCTGTTGGAATTAGAGCTGGATTCTCCGTGCCTAATGCCTAAGGCGCTTAGGAGGGATTTAATGTTCAAAGAGCGAATGGAGCGAATGATTAAGATTGAGATCCACACCACTGTAAAGCAATTACACTCCAATAAAGATGCTAAAAAAAAAAAGATTGAGATCCACAAAAGTGAAACGTAACTGTCCTTTTATCCATTTTTCAGTCATTCAGCATATATGTATCGAATGCGTAGAATTTCTAAGTTTTGTTCTTAGATTCAGAGAAGAAATACAACCCCACCTAAAGCTGCTGACGGTTTAGCAGAAGAGACAGGAGAAGGGAGAGACTACTTTCCTCAGACGGGGCAGGAGAAATGTGAGAGGAGCTTTAACTGCAGATGCCCTTCACCATGCAGGAAACCTCGCCTTGCAGGAGTCTCCCTCTATCTGGTACTCCAAGTGGGAGGAGGGCCTTCCTAAAACTTCAGATCGAAGATCCACTAAGAGGAAACAAGTCTTTACCAGTGTCCCAGAAAGCAGAATGGTTAGGCTTCCTGTACCTCTGAAGACAATTTGTCATCTTCCCACTTAAATTTAAGGAGACAACCTGAAAATATTTCCGAAGACCATTCAATGTCTAAAACTAGTGACACTGAGTGCCCCCTGTGGGGTTCTATTTCAGCTCATACCTTTCTCTGTTATCTATGGGAAGGATACTTTTAAATCTGAAAAGAAATCAAGAAATTCAAAATAGGGGGAAATGAAAGCCATACCATCACTTTTGCAAAAGGTCCTAATTTTGCTGTCTTCTTTGAGTAACAAGATCATTGCAGTTGTTTTATGTGTTAAATTATCCAATGAAACATGGCAAAAATGTGTACATATAGTTATATTTACCTCCCTATTTTGTATGTCAAGCCTTAGACTATTATTAAAGGTCCCATTTTCAGCAAACCAAGCAACCAATACTAAAAGAAAATGAAAGCTCTTCAATCATTATCTGAGCTGATAATGACATCCTCTGTCTATGCCTTCTATGATCTATTAGTACTGTTGCCAAGAGCAACAGCACGTCAAGAAATTCCACCCCTTGATGATACAATAAAATTTCTGTTCAAAACATTTTATTAGGAAAGCCAATCTCTTCTTCCTTATAAGCAGAAGTTGCTTTTTAAACAAAGACCTCTTCATTCTACCATGGCTGAAGAGAGTTTTCTAATAATCTTTTTCCATTTTCAAATATTAATGTGTAATATCTCTGTTAACTGGGTTGTCTAAGAGTCCTTCACGTTGTACTTTATTAAAATGACCAAAAGAACAGTTTCTAATTAAATAAGTAGGACACAGGAACTGAAACAGCTATATGTTTAATGAGCCTTTGTGTTCAGATCACGTTGCTCACTGCACATGAATCACTCTAAATTCTAAGGGGAGTGGTGATAGATACTCAAATGATAGCCATTTGAGTATCTATCACCACTAGTCAATGGTGAATAATATCCATATTGTGGAAGTAAAAAAAGCTAGTTAAAGTTGGCATTGCCTTTAATGGTGCTGTCAATAGCAGCCACCTTGACTGTCACAGGTTGGAGTGACACCTCTTTACTCCACTTTCTATTCTTCCCTTTCCACAGCCACCCAGTGACCCACTTCCTCATCGGCCATTCACTGTTCCTGTTTTCTCAGAATGTAGAAGAGATAGCACACTCCTCCAAGGTCCTCCCCTGTAGAGCACTGTAATGAAAGATCATGTTTATAAAGCCATTTGGATTTTGCCTGCTTACAACTTGGAGTCAGCAGGCTATGTTAGAAATGTGAGCAGTGACTTCTGTCTTTGATCTCAGTCACTTTCTGCATGACCTTGGCCAAGCTATATAACTTCTCCACAGCTCACTTTCCTCTTTTCTAAAGTGACAGGGTAGGATTCTATGAAATATTAAATTCTAAAATGTCCATGATCTTAAAATGGAAAAATGTACGTTTTACTTCTGACATCTTTACTGTCTCCCAACACATAAGTGCAAAATGGTCTTCCAACTGGGTTCTGAGACATCAGGTAGTTTGGCCCTAAGGTACACCTTTTATTTATAAGGTACACCTTATAAATAAAAGTATTTATCTGAAAAATACTTAAAGCACAGGGACAGAAAAATTACAAGTGTATAATCCTTCTACTTAAAAATTTATATATAAAATTAATGTTTCCATATCACCCCTCTAGTCTCACTTTATTAATAGTCCTCCCAACTCCATTCTACAAGCACCTCATTAACACTGGTGTTGCCAAGGGCATCACCAAGAATTGTGCAGTACACATTTATGCAACTATACATGGTAGCTCTACAGTTAGTTACTTTTCCAAAATGGTTTGAAGGGTCAAATATCTCCATTTTGAAAGCCTTTACTATGCTTAAAAAAAATTTTTTTAATTACATAAACAATGGTGTTAACTGCTTAGTACTTAGTCGATTTGATAATGGGTTAGTACTTAGTCAATTTGGTGAACAGCAGGGGTAATGATGAGAAGAGTAGAAATGACGAAAGACTGTGTGAGGACACACCTTGATTCCTTTTCTGGAAGAAAGTATGTAAGCAGCATCTCTGGGAGAGGTCCATATCTGAGAAGTGTGTGAGATGCTTGACATTTTTTTGAAAATTCATCTTCATTAAGCATTACTCATTGCATATTCTGAACAAGAGTTATTTGGCAAGGGCAAGTTTACAATGAAGGATGGAGTGGTTGGTTTCTTAACCGGGTGCCTGGCTTTTTATGGACAGCACTAAATTCTGTCTTTCTGGCTAGTTAGGTAATGTATATTTCCCAGCAAGAAAGAGTCATTAGATGAGGACGATGAATCAATTGTGCTTCAGGAGTCCCATTAAGAAAATTACTGGTTTAAGTGTGAGCCTTGGGGATTAACGGGAAGGTAATTCAGTGTAACCTGTAGCACCTAGGGGGAAAAATCTCTATATTAATACATTAAGTTAACCTGATTTTTCTCACCTTAGGGGACTAAGGTGACCCAAAGGCTAGAGGAAAAACTTCTCAGGTTCTCATGGAGTGAGCAAACTCAGCCCTTCTTTTCCTGGAAACCCCTTGCTCTACTCTCACTCTGTACTTTGCTCCTGGTGTTCCTTCTTCCTCAGCCACCATTGCACACCCTTAAACCACTTCTCCTGGACCACCCGCATTCACCCTCACAGTTTAGACTCACAAACTATTTCCTTGTGAAGAATCCCACCCCCATCATCTCCTCCACTGCTAATCAGAATTAGTCTTTCTTTTTGGTTTCTGAAACTTGCTGTTGATAAATTCATCTCGTCCACAAGATCATTGTCTTCTTAAGGGTGCAGACAGTGTCTAGGTATCTGTGTTACCAAACCGTACTTGGGTCTACTCCGCCACGTGCAGTAAAACCAGTCTACTGACACCAGGTTGTGGTGAAGGGAAGTGCAGCATTTATTGCAGGGTGACCAACAAGGAGTTCAGAACAGCTAGTGCTCAAAAAGCCTAAATTCTCTGTGGGTTTCAACAAAGTATTTTTAAAAGCCAGGTGAGGGAGAGGTGTCCCAGGGTATGTGATCAGCTCGTGCACAGCTCTCTGATTGGTTGATGGTGAGGTAATGGGGCGTTGTCACAGGGGTTAACATTGTCAATCCTTAGGCACTAGTAGATCTGGGAGCTAGGTGTTCATGATCGTCATGTAGTTAATTTCTTCCATTTGGTGGTGGTTTTAGCATCTGTAAAACAACTCAGGAAATGTGCATCAGATACTATTATCTAGGTACTTCAGAGAGGAGCTAAAGCAGAGGATATGGGGGAGGGGGTCTGTCCTGGGAAGGCCCCATAGGGTCCTGCTCTATTACATCTGCATTTTCCATCTGCAGGCCAAACAGTGCCTGGCAGATGGGAAGAGTCTGGAAATATTTGTAAATAAGACAATATGGAAACTTGGTGGGCGTTTGTTTGCCTCAGAAATGTACACGGATGGCCTCCATCAGGTAATCTTTGTTTTCCTAATCTTAGGTTCAAGTGACCTTGATCCTTCAATGCTGTTGGACACTGGAGAGATCACTGATACAGGATCTGATTATGAAGATCAGGTACTTAGAATCTAAACATATTTCTCTATTTAAATGTTTCTAATTTTAGTCTTTATAAATGTTTCATGAAAATTAGAATTACAAATCATTCTGTGAAATGTTTACAGAGAACTCAAATAATCTATTCCATGATAAATCATACAGCTTTTATACATTAACTTTGGCCCTTTAACCCTCCCTTATCCACAGATTCAAAGTGGCAATTAATTGAGGAAAGATTTGTGGTCAAAAGTTACATGAGATAGAAGTGAAGTTACATGAGGTTCTCTTGGCCAAGAATTTGCCTGTGTCTCTATCCCTTCCCTGTAATAAGCCCACGGTATTTACTAAGCATTGGTTACAGGTTCAGGGCTCTGCTTTTCTCTTCCTAACCTTTGAAAGGGACTGATGACCAAGGACAACACAGCCAAGATATTAATATATTTTCTATTTGAATAAAACCAAAGAAATTTATCTGGGTCATTTTTTTCTCAGAAGAAGAACTCTTCCTCCTGCTCTATTTTAATGATCCAAAATAGTTGGCAAATGATCCCAGTCTCTAATTAGGCCTTATTTTTTAAAAAGCATCATGTCTGAAACTTCCTTCCACCTCTCATCAGTGCTCCTCTGTGGTGGCTGAAAGCCAAGTGAGCATGTTCTTCTGGAATTGTTTTTCCCCCATTTTCCGCTAATATGTGTAACAAATAAAGGGGATAGATCTGACCAGTGTCTAAATGTAATGGCTGTCTCTCTGTTTCATATATGTGTTCAGAAGCTATTTTCACAAGCATTGTGTTTCTTCCCTTATATCACAAAGCAAGGAGAAGATATTGACAAGTATTTAAAATATATTTTAGCATATATTAAGCACTTCATACATACTAAACATTGTGCTAAGTTCCTTAACTTGACTATCGTACTAATTCCTCACAACATCTCTAGGAAATAGGAATTATTATCTTTATTTCATAATTAAGAGAATTCAGACTCCAAGAGTAATTTGCGCACAGTTATGCAAATAGTTTCACTGTGGGGAAGTGAACTCAGAGCACCTTCCTTAACACCTGCACTCCGTCACCCTCATCCTCACCTCCAAAGCCATTCAGTGGTGCCTTTTTGGAGCCTTTTCAGTTGCTAACTCTTAAGACCCCAGCAAGGGCAAATGCCAGACAACCACTGTGAAGGGTGAGCTCACCATCCAAAATTACAGACTGCACCAAGGAATGAACCATAGCAAGAAATCCAGCTGATTAAACAAATGGAAGGGTTCACACTCCAAGGACTGGGGATAACAGAAAAGCCTGAAAGAAATCTTAATCTGGGGATATTTAAAATATCCAAGGAGATAAAGGGAAGATTAGAAACCATGAAACAAGTACAGGAAAGAATGGAAAGGAAGAAGCAGGAAGGAATAGGGAGGAAGAAATAGAAATTCTAGGCACAAAAAAATACTGTCATTGCAATAAAAATTCAATCAACAGGTTGAAGAGTAGACTAGACACAGCTAAAAAGAGACAATGATGGGGTGGGGGTGGGATGAATTGTGAGATTGGGATTGACATATATACACTAATATATATAAAAGAGACAACTAATAACCTGCTGCACAGTACAGGGAACTCCACTTCACTGTACAGTAGAAACTAACACAACATTGTAAAACAACTATACCCCGATAAAAAAAGAGAGAGACAGACAATGATAGAGCTGAGGAAATTTCCTTCAAATGAAACAGAGAGCTAAATCATTGTCAAAGAAAGAACTTAGGAGACACTGAGGATGGAATGATTGGGTCAACATATTCTAACAGGAGTTCCAGGAAGGTAAAATGGAGTGGATGGGGCAGAGCTGCATTTTAACAGATAATGGTTGAGAACTTTAAAGAGGTGAGAAAAGACAAGTCCCCAGAGTGAAGGAGCACATCCAGTCCTGATCAGGAAAAAAAAATCCTCGCCTACTCTTTTTCCATTTAGTTCCTCAACAAATATTAATAGAGCACCTACTATGTGCCAGGTACCATTTAGGCACTTGGAATATCTAACTGTATAAAACAGGCAAGGATCTTCCTTACAGGTGGGGAAGACAGATAGTAAACAATAAACATAATATATTAGTAAATTCTCTAGACTGTTAAGTGTTATGAGAAGAAAAAAAAAGTAGAACATGGTAGGAGGGTTAGGAATGCTGGGTTGGGGAGGGCAGATTACAGTATTAAACAGGGAAGTCAATATTAACTAGGACGGCCTCATTAAAGAGGTGAGATTTGAGCAAAGACTTGGCATATAATGTAAAACATTGAGAGCACAGAGGACAAAAATAAAATATTAAAAGTGAAAAGGCATTACCTATAAAGGAACAGCAATTTGGGGGACAAAAGATTAAATGAAGCAAGGGTTTGCATTTATTGAGTACTTACTGTAGGCCAGACACTGTGTTTTATGGTTTATGTGCATTATTGCTAATCTTTACAATAACTCAAGAAGGTAGCTCTGTTTATCCCCAATTTACAGCTCAGGAAACTGGAGCTCATACAGGTTAAATGACTTCCCAAGACCAAACAGCTAACAAGCAGTTGAGTCAGGAATCAAACTATGATCACCCCAACACCAAAATCTAGTTTATGCTTTCACACTCCAAATAAAGCCATTATCAAGGTCACTGGTAATCTATCACCAATTCCAGTTAACACTTTTTTATTTTAAATAAATTAATTTATTTATTTTTGGCTGCATTGAGTCTTCCTTGCTGCACACGGGCTTTCTCTAGTTGCAGCGAGAGGGGGCTACTCTTCACTGCAGTGCACGGGCTTCTCACAGCAGTGTCTTCTCTTGTTGCGGAGCACGGGCTCTAGGCGCATGGGCTTCAGTAGTTGTGGCTCGCAGACTCTAACGCGCAGGCTCAGTAGTTGTGGCGCACAGGCTTAGTTGCTCTGCAGCATGTGAGATCTTCCCAGACCAGGGCTCGAACCCGTGTCCCCTGCATTGGCAGGCGGACTCTTTTTATTTTTTTTTTGTATTAGTTGTTTTTTGTTTGTTTGTTTGTTTACACTGTAGGTTCTTATTAGTCATCAATTTTATACACATCAGTGTATACATGTCAATCCCAATCGCCCAGTTCAGCACACCACCATCCCCACCCCGCCGCGGTTTTCTCTACTTGGTGTCCATACGTTTGTTCTCTACATCTGTGTCTCAACTTCTGCCCTGCAAACCGGTTCATCTGTACCATATTTCTAGGTTCCACATACATGCGTTAATATACGATATTTCTTTTTCTCTTTCTGACTTACTTCACTCTGTAGGACAGTCCCTAGATCCATCCACGTCTCAACAAATGACTCAATTTTGTTCCTTTTTATGGCTGAGTAATATTCCATTGTATATATGTACCACATCTTCTTTATCCATTCATCTGTCGATGGGCATTTAGGTTGCTTCCATTACCTGGCTATTGTAAATAGTGCTGCAATGAACATTGGGGTGCATGTGTCTTTTTGAATTATGGTTTTCTCTGGGTATATGCCCAGTAGTGGGATTGCTGGGTCATATGGTAATTCTATTTCTAGTTTTTTAAGGAACCTCCATACTGTTCTCCATAGTGGCTGTATCAATTCACATTCCCACCAACAGTGCAAGAGGGTTCCCTTTTCTCCACACCCTCTCCAGCATTTGTTGTTTGTAGATTTTCTGATGATGCCCATTCTCACTGGTGTGAGGTGATACCTCATTGTGGTTTTGGTTTGCATTTCTCTAATAATTAGTGATGTTGAGCAGCTTTACATGTGCTTCTTGACCAACTGTATGTCTTCTTTGGAGAAATGTCTATTTAGGTCTTCTGCCCATTTTTGGATTGGGTTGTTTGTTTCTTTAATATTGAGCTGCATGAGCTGTTAATATATTTTGGAGATTAATCCTTTGTCCGTTGATTCATTTGCAAATATTTTCTCCCATTCTGAGGGTTGTCTTTTCATCTTGTTTATGGTTTCCTTTGCTGTGCAAAAGCTTTTAAGTTTCATTAGGTCCCATTTGTTTATTTTTGTTTTTATTTCCATTACTCTAGGAAGTGGATCAAAAAAGATCTTGCTGTGATTTATGTCAAAGAGTGTTCTTCCTATGTTTTCCTCTAAGAGTTTTATAGTGTCTGGTCTTACATTTAGGTCTCGAATCCATTTTGAGTTTATGTTTGTGTATGGTGTTAGGGAGTGTTCTAATTTCATTCTTTTACATGTAGCTGTCCAGTTTTCCCAGCACCACTTATTGAAGAGACTGTCTTTTCTCCATTGTATATCTTTGCCTCCTTTGTCATAGATTAGTTGACCATAGTTGCGTGGGTTTATCTCGGGCTTTCTATCTTGTTCCATTCATCTATGTTTTTGTTTTTGTGCCAGTACCATATTGTCTTGATTACTGTAGCTTTGTAGTATAGGCAGGTGGACTCTTAACCACTGCGCCCCCACAGAAGTCCCCCAGTTAACACTTTTTGGTTATCTTTCTTGACCTTTGCTGCCTTTGACCCACCACACTTTTACTGTAAAGGGCTGGGTCGTAAATATTTTAGGCTTTGTGAACTATAAGAGATTTGCTGCAGCTACTCAAAGCCTGCCATTGTAGTGCAAAAGCAGCCACAACTATACTTAAACAAGAGTATGGCTGTGCTCCAGTAAAACTTTATTTATGGACACTGAAATTTGAATTCCACATATTTTCCTGTGATTTATTTCAACTATTCGAAAATGTAAAGCCCATTCTTAACTGAGAGGCTGTGCATAAACAGGCAGCAGAGTGGATTTGACCTGCAGGCCGTAGTTTGCTGACCACAGCTATAAACCATCCCCATTTCTTGACAGTGTCCTCTCCATTAGCTTCTAACACTTCTATAGTATTTAATACTGTTCTAAGTGCTTCACATTTATTACCTCATTTTATCCTGAGACAATTACGTGAAATTGATATTATTACCCCCATTTTACTGATAAGGAAAGTGACGTACAAAGAAATTAAACAGTTTATTTAAGGTCACAC